ACATGCGCTATAGGGGAATTGATTAACTAAATTGAACGTAGTTTATGAGTGTGTGTGTGTAAACGAGTGCGTATGGGTGTTTCCCAGTGCTGGGTTGCAGCCAGAAAGGCATCCACTTTGTAAAACATATACTGGAATAGTTGGTGGTTCATTCCGCTGTAGCTGTTCGTTCCGCTTCTGATCAACTGACCCCAGCCGAGACTCAAACCAGTGCTGTGAGGCCACAGTGCTAACCACTGAGCCACCGTGCCGCCACACCCTAATGATCTGCTTAGTCAGTAAACTGGCGCCAAATATCAACAGTAAAACTGCATTTACTGCAGTAGGAGAAGCTGCGTCAATCTTTTCTAAATGAATGCGCCTCAGAAGACAATCCTGACCTGCAGTGACGCCCTATTCACACGGGACTTCAGCGTCAACGCTTGACTGAAGGCGTGTCTGAAGTTGGGGCTGAAGCGATCGTCATAAAAGCGTCAGCCAATGAAATCCAGTCAGCAATATTTTTATTATTATTTTATTTTATTATATTTGCATACAGCGATCTGATTGGCTGACGCTTCCGTTGGCGCTTGAAAAGTTGAGCTAGTCCCATTTTCTGCAGTGAGCAACGCCTCTGAAAGTGGTGCCGACGGATCCACAATGCAGTTCGGCAACGCCTGACGTCACCCATTCAAAGTGAATGTGAAGCGTTGACGCTGACGCCCCGTGTGAATAGGGAGTGAGCGCACAGTGGCAATTTGAAGGTGTCAGACGCGGAGCACAGGCGCTCTTGATTCTGGAGGTCATTAATAATATAATAACATTAATACTGAAACCGTAAGGCGTTTTATAATGACCAAAACTACATTTCAGATGTTTTATAATGTGCTCAGCCTGTGTGGGGTTGCTTCTCATGCAAGGGAGTAGGCTCACTCACAATTTTGCCCAAAAACACTGCCATGAATAAAGAATGGTACCAAAACACCCTGCAACAGTAACTTCTTTCAACAATCCAACAACAGTTTGGTTAAGAACAATGCATTTTCCAGCATGATGGAGCACCGTGTCATAAGGCAAAAGTGATATCTAAGTGGCTCGGGAACAAAACGTTGAAATTTGGTGTCCATGGCCTGGAAACTCCCCAGATCTTAATCCCATTGAGAACTTGTGGTCAATCCTCAAGAGGCGAGTGGACAAACAAAAACCCACTAATTCTGACAAACTCCAAGAAGTGATTATGAAAGAATGGATTGCTATCAGTCAGGATTTGGCCCAGAAGTTGATGGAGAGCATGTCCAGTCGAATTGCAGAGGTCCTGAAAAAGAAGGGCCAAAACTGCAAATACTGACTCTTTGCATACATGTCATGTAATTGTTGATAAAAGCCTTTGAATCGTGTGTAGTGCTTGTAATTATATTTCAGCAATTCATAGAAACAACTGAAACAAAGATCTAAAAGCGGTTTAGCAGCAAACTAATAAGTGTGTCATTCTTAAAACTTTTGGCCACGACTGTACATTTTTAAAAATAATAGTTTTAATAACCAGCTCATAATAACTGATTTCTTTTGTCTTTGCCATGATGAAGGCACATAATGTTTGACTGCTGAAGATAATGTCAGTAGCTATGTTTCCATCCACTTATTTTATATATATTTTATATTATTTATAGTGCTGTCAATCGATTAAAAAAATTAACTAATTAATCGCACCGTTTTAAAAAAATTAATCGCAATTAATCGCATTTAAAATACTAAAACTTGTAATTTTGGCTATTTAAATGTAAAATTAATTTAAACGCAAGACAAAATTTTTTTTAATTCAAAATATAATTGTTTAATAGAATTTTTGTTTAACTTGAAACACAGATTTCTTCATGTAAACAACAAACCCACAATAAACCATCAAGATCCTGGCTTGACAGCCAAATTTGACAGGGCCAAAACTGCAAATACTGACTCTTTACATACATGTCATGTAATTGTTGATAAAAGCTTTTGAAACGTGTGTAGTGCTTGTAATTATATTTCAGCAATTCATAGAAACAACTGAAACAAAGATCTAAAAGCAGTTTAGCAGCAAACTTTGTGAAAACTAATATTTGTGTCATTCTCGAAACTTTAGTCCACGACTGTATTTGGGAAATAAAATATTTTAAATAATCTTTAGCTATTTATTAGTTAAAGTTATCTTTAGACTCATTATGTTTAGTTATCAATGTTTCATCTGAAACCCTGCAGTTGTGCTTCATATCCACCTGGCCCATGCGGTCTGCTGTGGCGTGTCAGTGTTTGCCACTCTCAGATGCTGCACTTCCTGTTCAGCGTCTGTGAGAATCAGCATCACGACTTGATGACTCATGACTTTCAGACCGCAAAGGCCTTTTCTCTCTGGCTGCTGTTTATTTTCAAACATCTTCGGGTTTCAGCACTTCTGCCAAATCACAGAGAACATCTTTGAGGCAGAGCACAAAGAGACTTTTAGCACTTTAACACAATGAAAACACAAACCCCAACTCGACCTCCGTGGAGCTGCTGTGGTGATATAGAGATTTACAGCTGTGTGTGCTAAACAGTCTAATCTGTTCATCAGGGATGCGGAACACTCAATAACACTCACTCAGTGCCAGTCTTGAGCAGTTTATCACAACATTGACTCTGGTGTTGAACTTGTGTAGCAAAGGAATACTCCACTCACTCTCCACTATTTGAGCTTTACCATTGTTGAGTCTGATGTGACCCGCCTTTTAAAGAGCCTTTATGGGTTTTTGAGGCTGATCTTCATGTATTGTGTAACACAGCTCTAAGTGAAGTGAAATATCCAGCTAAGGCTTAAATCTGAAAGTGGACAGTGTTTAAAACTATTGATGCATTCATAAAAGAGTCGAGTCATAGTACTTTAAATGAATCGTCTTCATAACGAGTCTTTAGCCGTTTTGGCGTGATGTTAATACAAAACTTAAGCCCCGCCCAATTTTTGCGTGCGCAAACCTGGGAAAATTGAAACCTGCGGCCTCGCCCACAAGCCCAAAGCAGATGGGCAGATTTTGATTAGCTATTACCAAAACAAAACTTCTTTTTCTCAGCGTGTTAACTTGTGTAGATTAATTATTTACATTAAAACTAACAATGTGCGCTAGTTAATTAAACATTGTACATTTTAAATTTCGTAAAATAAGCTGTTTGTCGTCAGACGTCATGCATATGATCCTGTGTTGCTGCCAACTTTTATTTCAGTGCGATGACGTATTTCTGGCTGAATCAGAATATTGAGTAATGGGTGGAGATTATTTTAAATTAATTCAATATGGCTATTCTTATCTTTCACTAATGTTTGGAAGGGCGTGGCTAGGCATATTTTGTCCAATTAATTGAGGGACTGGTGTTCCAGAGCCAAAGCAGATTAGCAGATTTTGATGACTAGTTTTTTTCCATTGGAATAACTTGCGAAGATTAATTGTTCACATTATTATTAACAATGTGCGCTAGTAAAATTGTAAATATTAGAAATGGATTTCATGATTTAAATTATGTGAAATAAGCAGTGTTTTGAAATAAGCATGTGCTCCTGCGTTGCTGCAATCTTTTATTGTAGTGTCATGATGTATTTTCAGCTAGAAGAGAATATTGAGTGGGGGCGGAGTTTCGATTTTGCATCAATATTAGAGGAGCGTGGCTATGCATATTTCGTCCAATCAGAACTTCCCGCTGATTGGAAACTTGACAAATTTGGATGAAAATTTACTGAAACAAAATTTTTTTATTGAATTATCTTGTGTAGATTAATTGCTTTCATTCAAACTAACAATGAGCACTCGTAAAATAAACATTGTACATTTTAATATCATGATTTTAATTTCGTCCAATCAGAGAGATCCTGTCATTCAGGAATCTGGCAGGAGTTTAGATAACAGTTTAAGATTACTAAAACAAATTTTTGGATTTGGATTTAATTGCGTAGATTAATGGTTCCTATTAATACTAACATTGTGCGCTAGAAAAATTTTGATTTCATGATTTCAATTTGGTTAAATAAGCAGTGTTTGTCGTCAGAGGTCATGCATTGTTGCAATCTTTTATTTCAGTGTGATGATGTATTTCCAGCTGGAAGAGAATATTGAGCAGGGGGCGGAGTTTTGTTTTTGCACTAATGTTTGGAGCGGCGTGGCTTGGTATATTTCGTCCAATCAGAGAAGGACTGCTGTTCCAGAGCCTAGGCAGATGGGGAGATTTTGATGAAAGCAGGGGTGATAGCGTTCCGGCACCACGCCGGATTTCCGGCATACTGTAGCTGCGGGAAACAAAAAAATCAGGTTCACGGATATTGATCTGTCATTTCTCTAGATTCACAGAATTCACTCACTGCTGAAAGCGGCGGATTGGTTTTTATTAAGTGCCATTTTGTGTGCTCGTGAATCGTCTTTTGAGTGTAGACGCCATGTAAATAAAAGATTAATTGTGTAATTTAGAGAGCTTTATAAATTATAACGGATCTTTGTGAGATCTCTATGATCTAAGATTAGTGACGCTTTTTAGTGATAATAAGAGGAGCGTGCTTTGCACTTTCCAGGCTATAATCCATTCAGAATTTGTATGAAACTTTCGTTTTCGGCACATATACGCTGATATGTTTTGGGAATGACATCTGCATGTTTACGCTGGGTTTATTCTCGAAATAACGGTGAAGCAATAGACGGGACAAAAATATATTTCCCCCTTCTCCTTAAACAACTTAGTGTTTCAGCTATGAAATAGTTCAGTTTTGTATGTATCCTAATGGCAAAGTGTTTATATTTAGTTTCGTTTTTTATTATTTAGAAAAACGCTTATTTAGAAAAACGTTTGGAGCATTTTTTATTTGTTAAAAATAAGTTTTTTAACGAACAGCGCCCAGCGGAAGACCATCATTGTCTGTTTGATCAGTTTGCCTTCTCAGATCATCACGACTTGCCTAAAATAAAAGATATAAAACAGTTCAAGTATAAAACAATGGTAGCTTAAACGTTAAAGAATGTGTGCTATTAGGCGCATAGTTTGCTTATAAAAAGCTTGCAGGACATCGAGGCGCCAGAGCAATCACTTGCATTTTTTCAGTGGGAGCAGTTTAAAGTTATCCGTCATTTTTGCTCACAAAGTACGAGTAATACATCAAAAAACATTACAGCGTTTTTATAAAATAAAGAAAACCAAAATTATGCGCTTTCTGTCGTCTGGTTTTTGAACAGGAGCGCTTAACAAAATGAAGCAAAATGTATATGCCTCACAGACATAATAAATATTAAAATATATTTATAGAAAGCTTTAAATTATTACTTAACGAAATAAAACAAATCGAAAACAAAAAAACTCCTTCATGTAATCCGTAAAGATGAATTTCTTTCTAAAGGCGAGTCCAAGAGGCGATTGCCAGTCAGGATCTTTGCGACACTGACTCAGAATAAGTAAATAATAAATTAAAATAATAAATAATAAAATAAAATAATAAAAAATAAAATAATAAATAAATAATTAAGATATGTCCTTACTCTTTCCTCGACACATTCATTGTTATTTGTTTTTGCCGGTGCTTGGGGCGAGTTTTAGCTTATTGTGTGCGCTTGAACGCGGATTCACAGTAGCAGTTTTAACATGGAGTGACACGACATCTGACGTACAGATGACACTGGCACAGTCCGGTTTTCCACTGTCATGTGTCACTTGCTAGTGGCATGTGTAGTGTAGTGACCTGTGTCACTCAGAGTGTCGCGCTGCATGTCACTGCAGTGACATCGACACCCGGCGAAGCTTATGACATTAATTAACACGAGCAAAACCATATTTAATCATTACGCGACTTTTAACCTAATTTATCGCGTCGCAAGTTAGTTTATTTGCTGAGCTACTCTTTTAATTTAAACGCATTTATTTTACGTATTCGTAGTCATACTTCCGTACGTAATATAGTCATTTGACAGTACATGTCAGTCAAATTTATTGTGGCATGCTTATGTATGGGAGGGGTTACACTTTTCTGTTGTACTGTATATTATTGCATCCTGGCAGTTCCTTTGTTCCCTACAATATGGACTTTTCTATGTTTTTAATTTATTCATTTATTTTATTATTTAACTTATTTTCATTTTAAGGTATTTTAAATAATATCCTTTAAAAAGTTATAATAAAATGCATGTTGAAAACTCATAACATGCATGTAAGATAAGGTGTCATTTGCCTAATGATTTTTAAATATTAAAGCAAAGAGACTTATAAGATTAATGTGCTTATAACGTGCTTATACTGACACCTACTGGAACATGTCACAAGATCACTGACACTGGCATGTGTCACTGACATTACTGGCATGTGTCTAAAAAGAGCCACTTGACAATAATGATGATCAGGGTTACACATGGGCTGTTAATATATTTGGGCCCAGGGGCCCACAAGTTATGTGTTAAAAGTGCGTTGCATACATAGTACCCCCACCCCTACTCACCTCAGGGGCAAGGAAAAAAAGTTCAGGCTCAGGAATTTTTTCCACTATCAGCCCTGTGAAAGAGATTTTTCTTCCATTGAATTAACTTGTGTAGTTTAATTGCTTACCATCAAACTAACAATGAGCACTCGTAAAATAAACATTGTACATTTTAAATTAATTTTAATTTCGTCCAATCAGAGAGATCCTGGCATTCAGGAATCTGACAGATGTTCAGATGTTGGTTAAAGATTACCAAAACACGTTGTTTTATTTTCAGAATTTGATTTACTTGAGTAGATTAATTGTTCCCATTAATACTAACAATGTGCGCCAGTTAAATTTCGATTGCATTATTTAAATTTAATTAAATACGATGTCTTTGTCGTCAAAAGTCATGCATTGCTGCAATCTTTTATTTCAGTGTGATGACTTATTTCCAGCTGTAAGAGAATATTGAGTAGGGGCGGAGTTTTGTTTTTGTGGAAATATTAGAGAGGCGTGGCTGGGCATATTTCATCCAATCAGAGCAGGACTGATATTCCAGAGCTAAAGCAGATGGGCAGATTTTGATGAAAGATTATTAAAACAAACCCTCTTTTTTCATTGTTTTTTTTTTCACGCTGTGTTTGTCGTCAGAAGTCATGCATATAATGTTTCTGTGAACAGGTAACGCAGAATTGCTGGTTCTAGCTGCGTCCAGCCGCGCTCAGCCTCCAGACGTGGTGTTACGGCAGAACGTCTCACCGATGGAGCGACCAGAGCCCCGACCTGCACAGAGCGTGGAAACCCTCATCGGACAGAAGCTGCAGCTGATTGGAGATCAGTTCTATCAGGAGCACATCATGGTGAGTCTGCAGGGGTTTTCTGTGTCCGGCGGGACAATAAACGTGTTCATGCTGTCGCCACTAATGGATTATGTCTCAATACAGCGCCGGGTTACACAAAAGAGTTTTCCATGTTTGTTTTGGCCAGACGGTTTCCTGACTGTAGTCTAGTTGTGTGACGCTAAAGATACGAGTCAACTGAGGCAAACTCTCTCTCTTTCTCTCTTCCTGTTTACTGGACTCTTTTCTCCAGTGTGTATTCATAACACTGAAGAAAGTCTATGTGTGTGTATGTGTGTGTGCACTAATGTGTGTGTGTGTGTGTGTGTGTGTGTCAGGATTATTTATAAACTATTATGTTTCTATACCTATTATGAAATGCCATTTTCTTTTAGATTTCATATTTTTCTTGTAATCAAATTTATTTAATTTTAAGTGACGTTGTATTAGTAGTTTTGTAGAAAGTTGTAGTAATTGTAGTAATATTTAAGTAATTAATTCATTCATTCATTTTCTTTCAGCATAGTCCCTTTATTCATCAGGGGTTGCCACAGCAGAATGAACCGCCAACTTATCTAGCGTATGTTTTACCCAGCAGTGCAGATAAATCACCGCAGCTGCTGTCCTCCCGCTTCTTGGCCTTTCTTTCTTGTCCCTCTTTGTCTTCCTTCTTCATGCTTTCGCTCTTCAAACATGTTTTATCTATTTTTTTCATTGCATAACTTCAGCTGGAGTGGTCTCCTTTGTGCTTATTTTAGGCTTTTGTGTGGCTAAATATGTTATTTTCAAGCTGTGTGATTCAGTAAAGCTGTTGCAAAAGGTACAAACCATCTTCGTTTGGTTTTAACACTCAATTATCACACTATCCTTTCCATTATCAGAGTTTGATACATGTTTTTTTGTATATACAGTGGTGTGAAAAAGTGTTTGCGCCCTCTCTGATTTTTTATTTTATTCATTCATTCATTCATTTTCTATCGCTTTTCTGGGGCCGGGTCGTGCGGGTAGCAGTCTTAAGAGAGAATCCCAGACTTCCCTCTCCCCAGACACTTCCTCCAGCTCCTCTGGGGAGGTCTCGAGGCGTTCCCAGGCCAGCTGAGAGACATACTAGCTCCAGTGTGTTCTGGGTCTTCCCTGAGGCCTCCTCCCGGTGGGACAGGCCTGGAACACCTCCCTGGGTAGGCATCAAGGAGGCATCCGAGCCACCTCAGCTGACTTCTCTGAATATGGAGGAGCAGCCGCTCTACTCTAAGCTCCACCCGGGTGTCAGAGCTCCTCCCCCTATCTATAAGGGTGTACCCTGCAACCCTTTAAGGGAAACTCATTTCGGTCGCTTGTACATGAGATCTAATCCTTTCAGTCATGACCCAAAGCTCATGACCATAGGTGAGAGGCGGAATGTAGACTGACATTGCATTTCATTTCTTACGTTAATTTCTTGGTATTTTTTGTAACAATGTTTACTGTAACTATGTTACTGCGTTGCATTTAATTTAATTTGTTTTACATTTTACTTCACTGCGTTGCATTTGACTTTTTTTGCATTTAATTTATACATTTATTTTCACACATATGTGAGAATGCTGTTTGCGGACTACAGCTCAGCATTCGACACCATAGTGCCTGCCAAGCTGGTGGTGAAGCTCCAGGATCTGGGTCTACACAGCTCTCTGTGCAACTGGACCCTGGACTTCCTGTCAAGCAGACGCTAGGTGGTCATAACATTACCTCATCCACACTGATCCTCAGCACTGGTGCTCCACAGGGCTGTGTTCTCAGCCCACTCCTGTACTCCCTGTACACACATGACTGTACAGCCAAACACGGCTCCAACGTCATCGTTTAATTTGCTGATGACACAACGGTGGTGGGTCTAATAACAAATAATGATGAGACGGCCTACAGAGAGGAGGTGCACACACTGATGCCATGGTGTGAGAAAAACCAAGATCACTCAACATCAGCAAAACCAAGGAGCTGGTGGTGGATTTCAGGAGAGAGAAGAGAGAGCACACCCCCATCACCATCAACGGGACGCCAGTGAGAGAGTCAGCACTTTCAAGTTTCTTGGAGTCCACATCGCTGAGGATTTGACATGGACTGCCCACACAGATGCAGTGCTGAGGAAGGCACAACAACGCCTCTTCTTCCTAAGGCGTCTCAGGAGGTTAGGAATGAGCCCCCACATCCTCCGCTCGTTCTACACCTGCACTGTGGAGAGCATCCTGTCTGGCTGCATCACCACCTGGTATGGAAACAGCACCAGCAGCAATCACAAAGGCCTACATAGGATTGTATGAACTGCTGGATGTGTAGTAGGAGGTGAGCTTCCCTCCCTCCAGGACATCTACACCAGGTGGTGCATGAGGAAAGCCAAGAGAATTATCAGTGACTCCAGCCACCCAAGCCATAGACTTTTCTCTCTGCTACCCTCAGGCAGACGGTTCCGCAGCATCCGATCACGCACCAGCCGACTGAAGGAAAGCTTCTTCCCTCAGACTATCAGGCTGATGAACACTTAACACACCCCACACACACACAGACTCCGCCATACCCCTCACTGCACACCATCAACATGTAGCATGCACTGCACTTAAACCAATCCATACTTGAAACAACACTGCCTACAACTATGTGGTCACCTATTCGTTGCACATATCACTGTCAATTTTACATTGTCCTGATTTTGTTTTGTTTTTTTTGGGGAGTATGTTGTTGTATTTTGCACTGTCGTTGTATTTGCACTGTCTGTATTTTCAAGTTCGACTTCAATTTATTTATATAGCACGCTTCCAACTGCTACAAGGCTGCACAAAGTGCTTTACAGAGAGAAAATAAACGCATGATATGAGCATAAAAACAGTAACAACAGCAATAGGCACTTAATAGCAAAGAACATAGAGAGTATATCAATAAAAGAGCAAAATAAAATATAATAAAATTACCCCCCCCACCCCCCACCCCACCTCACCCCTTCTAAAGGGAAGCCCAGCCCAGTTTGATGAACATTTTGTCAGTGTCGCCTGGGGGCTTTTCCCATGTACACCAACAACAGGTGTACGTCACAATCACGCCCCCACAAGAGCAAGCTCCTGATTGGTTAAGGCTGCGCGAATGTCTGCTGAAGTTCAGACTTTTGAACTCGAGTAATTCGCGTGAAAGTCTATTCACTTGTTTGCATTGACTTAACATGTAAATCATTCGCGCTTGACGTGCGTTCCCCGTCTGTTGTGAACGCAGCATTATGCTTCAAAAGACCTAGAAAATAAATGCGTCTTTAATTTAGACTTAAAAATAGGCAATGACAAGGCCTTTTTTAGTTCTAATGGCAGAGCCTTCCAGAGGCGAGGACCTGCTATGGCAAAAGCATGTTCACCCCTACTTTTGAGGTGGGCCTGTGGAACTTTTAATAATATTTTGCACTGTCTGTATTCTGCACTGTCGGGAGCCAGCACCTAAGCTTTTCACTCATCGTAGCACACTTGCTGCTGATGATGTGACAATAAAAGTGATTTGATATTGTATTTTAATATTCGCATTTTTTATTGCATTGCATTGCATTTCTTTTTTTTTCATTTTATTACACTGCACTTTTGTTACTTTTTTGCAATGAAAACTTTAGCATTTGTTTTACTGCACTGCATTGCATTTTATTTTGCTTTTTTATTTTATTTCACTTCATTGCATTTTACAAAATGGCATGTAATTGTGTGTGTATGTGTGTGGAAGTAAGGCAAGGCAAGGCAAACTTTATTTATGTAGCACAATTTTACACAACCGTAGTTGATCCAAAGTGCTTTACAATAAAACAAACTAGACAATAAAAAAAAAAATGGTATTAAAAATGCAAGGAAATGTATATTTTTAAAGGAAATACTAAAATACAAATAAAACAGTAACATAAATGCGTCACTCTAAGGCAAGAGAGTAAAAACAAGTCTTTAAGTTAGATTAAAAAGCATCTGATGAAGGAGAAACCCTGATGTTCAGCGGGAGGCTGTTCCAGAGCCTTGGGGCCGCAACACTGAAAGCTCGATCCCCTTTTGATTTGCAGCGAGACCGAGGGACAGACAAAAGAAACCGGTCATGGGATCTCAATGGTCTACAAGCTGAATAAGGCCTAATAAGTTCACTGACATAGGCCGGGGCAGAATTGTGCAAAGCTTTATGAGTGAAAAGAAGAATTTTAAAATCAACTCTATTTTAAAGGTAGCCAGTGCAATGAGGCGAGGACAGGGGAGATGTGATCTCTTAAGCTGCGTCCCAAATGGTACACTTTGCACTCATGCACTATGTGCTTATGCACTTACACACTCAGCAGTATAGTACATGTATGTAGTGTCGTCCCAAATGGAACACTAATGTTTTTTTACTAAGCGGAAATTCAAACCGTTTCCCTGATGACGTTTGACGGTGCCAAATCAGTGAAATAAACGAGGGAATTATCAAATAATACCTGCCGTGAGTATTGCCGCATTCTCCATCGGGAGGCGCCATAATAATTCTCATAGGAGAATTTTGCTTTCACCATCCAAAATAAATGTGGTTATCTCACATGTGCATCCGATAGCTCCGCCCCTTCCTCTACGTAAGCAAACCTGCGGTCGCTGAGTGTGTGAAGTGTCCATCAGTACACACTTCATTATACCGGCTGAATGAGTGCATCATCTGGGTAATTAAAGTGCACTTATTATTGTTAGAGTTTTCAGTGTGAACACACTACTGACACTAATTATACTACAAAATGGCATAGAATAGTGCATAAGTATGCGATTTGGGACGCAGCTTTAGTTCCTGTTATTAATCTGGCGGCTGCATTTTGGACCAACTGTAGCTGAGAGAGTGTTGACTGAGGTAGACCAGTGTATAAGGAGTTGCAGTAGTCTAACCGAGAGGAGATTAAAGCGTGTGTTACGATTTCTAAATCTTTTTCAGAAAGAAACGGTTTAACTTTTGCACCCAATCTAAGCTGGAAAAAGCTGCTCTTCACAACCGCATTTACATGTTTGTGAAACGGCGAA